TCAGCCAAATTAATTTAGGGAGAGTTTAGTAAACAGCCTTTGCTTTCTGTACTTAAGTGATCAATTTCAACACCTGCTTTTCCTTCCAGATGGAGTTAATTAACATTAAAATTATTGCCTATAGTAGAGTGTTTTTTTTTTTTTTTTGATAACTCACATCCCTCCAGCTGCATCCAGATGCCTACAGTTCAGAAAATTAAAACAACAACAATAACCTCTGTGAGGGGCAAATTTATCATTGAACTATTTCAAGATACATGCATAAATATTATCTTGTAAGAAAAACCTAACATATAAAGTGGATGGTATATGTCAGCCACTTTCATGTGTAAGATGTAAAATGCTCATAGTCATCTGAAGAGGAGTGCTATTTTATTGCACATTTAATATAAAAAAAAACAGAAGATCAGAAAGACTTTGTATCTTTTTTGTGTGTTTCTCAGTTAGTGTGTGGTAAACCCAGAAAGTAACTACTTATTTAACTGAAATTTTCATTTTTTCCACTATACTAGGCTTGACTTATACTGAAGATTGGAAATTTTATAAAGAAATTCCAAGGTGTCTGAGGTTAAAATATTGGTTTGGGGGCAGTTTAGAATAATATAAATAAATCCTCCTAAATATTATATATGATGCCCACCCATATACCTCTATATGCAATGCAAATAATGCCCCAGTGTAGTGACACTTAAACAATCCATAGTTACAGTTCATAACTGCATCAAGAACTTACTCTGCTGCAAACATAGGGCTAGATACTGCGAAGAGATCAAAAGCAAAAGAAAAATAAAATGAACCGTTGCAATGCAGGTTAAGGACAAAAATCAGGTATAGCGACGATACTGTGAGTTGAATAAAGGAAGGAGAATATTTTAGACATAAACAGTTGCTCCTCATACTTTCTGTGGCCTTCATTTTAAATGAAATGATTCACTGACTTAAAAATACTCTTTATAAGTCTGCCTGATAAGTAAATTTGGAGCACCTTATATTCAGCTCTTTTCTCCCCCTGAATTACATGGTAGCGATCTAATTCATTTAAAAGCTACAACCAAAAAAGCATAAAAAGGATGAAGAGCTGACATGCCCAGTACTTACAGTGTGTGCGAATGACTAACAGAGTTAAGAACATTGTTTGTCATTATAATCTTCTCAGGGGAAATTCTAAGCTCTGCTTGGAGAAAACGGTGGCTTCCCTCTGCAAAGAATTGCATGGTGATTGCATGTTAGGAAATGTAGTTAAAATGCTATTCTATGAAAGATATATATTTTATCTACACAATTATAGGAGCCTCAAACACTTCACAGAACAAGTGGAATCAGAGATAGATTTATTTTGGTGCTAAAGATTTGAAATTCATGTTAATGTTGGGTCTTCAGAAAGTTCAAGGAAATTGCATAGAATGAAAAAGCAACCTGAATGCATTTCAATATTTTTGTACCATATTCCACTTTTCCATGAATATTTTGACATAATCCGAGACACATGAATATATATACACACACAATCACAGATATACATAAGGAGATACTGATAGCTGATTCTCACTATTTACAGTAGTTTGGTCTCTAAAGATACCAGGAACACTGAATTAGCAAATCCTGAAACATCGTGTTTAGGAGAGTTACAGGGTTACATTCCTGCAAGCCCAAGGTCATCATACTCTTATCAATCAATCAGAATGAAATCTTGTTTTACCTGTGAGGATCCCCTTATTTAACACACATTGTTGATTGATAGACACTGTATTCCTAGTCAGCACGATGACTGGTGCCTGAGGAAAAGGCACACACATTCTCCTCATGCGTGTGGCAGACTTCTTATGCATAAAAACAACAGAAGACACTTCAGAACTAAATTGTGTGCCAGGTTAAGTAGCAAAACAGCACGAACAAAACCACATAAATGAGAAAAATTTTTGTGACAGTGACTACTGGTAGACCACTCAAAGGATACATGTGTCCACTATAAGAACTGATACAAGAAGGCAAAACATCCCCTTTTTTGACTTCAGTGGGAGAAAATTGGAAAACTCAATTTTTTTCACTGTGCACATATCTACAAATGACCTCAAAAGTGCCATAAAATTTGGAAATCACAAAGAAATTTTAGCCAGTGTGCAGATTCACAAACATGAAATACAAAAATAATGAAATATATATATACACATACATATATATAATGCATGAAGTCTTCAGAGTTCATATAAAATGCAGATTATGAAAATGACAGAATGAATTTCAAGTGTTTTTTACTGAATAAACTTATCTTTCTCAGAAATTTTAGTACATTTGTGTATATATACATATAAAACTTAAAACTTATTTTAAATATAAAGTTGCAGTGACAGCAATGTAACCCCCAAACTATAAGACATTGTACCTTTTTCTCTAGATATATTTCATTTGAAAACTGGCTAAAAGCAGTTCAGTTCCCCATGGTATTTATAACAAATAATACCATTTTGTGATACAGTCAAGGATTGCAGTGATTTCTGGCTTGCAATCCTATTTGAAGGCTTCTAGCACTTAACATACTCTATATGGCACTTTGTAACTTAAAGAGGAATTAAATGTTTCTTGGGATGGCTTGAGATAAAAGTTAGTATTTTATTTTGAAGAGTTTGAATTGTGCTTTAACTCCCAACCTATTTTTGGCATTGAAAGCTATAAAGCCAATGGAGTTGATTCTATTAGAAAAGCATTTTCTTGGGGATAGTGGGATTGTTTGTCCTAATAAATATTATGAGGAAACAGAAAGATTTATTTAATGCCCATACCATCACTGGGCTCTTTTAATTAATTCATTTTGTATTTACTTGAGAGGCAGAATGACAGAGAGAGAAAGATCTTCCATCTGGTGGTTCACTTTCCAAATGTGTCCTAACAGCTAGGGATGGCCTCAGCTGAAGCCAGGATCCAGGAATTCCTTCCAGGTCTCCCACCACGGGTATCAGCGACCCAAGCACTTGAGTCTTCATCTGCTGGCCTCTCAGGGTGCACATAATCAAAAAGCTGGATCTAAAATGAGGGCAGGACTGATTCCCAAGTACTCCCATAAGGAATGTTAGGTATCCTGAGCGGCAACTTAAACAGTTTTGCTGCATCACCTGCTCCATCCCTGAGCTCTTGCTATGCAAAAAGTATCACCAAAATGCAGTGGCAAAAACAGTTTATTTTCACTCACATGTCTTTGGGTTGGTTGAGGTTCCTCTAGCCTTGGCTGGGCAGTTCTGATTCACAGTGAGGCTTACCTGAGGGTACTCTGTCCTACATGATTTCTACCTTGATCAAATCATTGGCAAAACCTGGATAAGGGCAGAGGCCCAACAGGAAAGGAAGAAATACTCAAGGACACTTTAGTATTAGGCTCAGATTTATCCCACTGTAACTTCTACATTACTCCATGCACGAAGGTTTGTCAACCGTCCAGTCCAAAAATGAAAAGTGGAATACTCTTCTTTTTGAGAAGGAGCAGCAGCAAAGTGCTACCCTCCAGGAAAGGAAGGAGTATTGGAGGCATTAATTCAACCTAGAACACCTGCTATCTGTTTAGTTCTGTCTACTGTTGTTATGTATAGCTTACCAAGTGTAATGCATTCCCTCCTTCTCCTTCACCCAATTCTTACCCTATTCTACTCTGGTAAACATCCAAATGGGGACAGTTTTATAGGGACAAGATAAGGGGGTCAAGCCAGTTTCTCAAAGCTTCACAGTTAGGGAAACAAGCACTCACATGAAGATCATGGGACCTCCAGCATGAGCTCTCTACAGCGCAATTTTGTTTTTGGAAAGACGCCTTGAATGTAGAAGGACGAGAAAGCAGACCCACACTTGCCTTTCTGGCCATTGCCTTATTCATTTTTACCTCCTCCCCTCCTTTCCTCTATTCCCCCTGCATCAACCACACATGCAACTTTGCAATTCCTTAAAAATTCAGGCAGAGCTCAATTCCAAAGCTATGCTTTTTTTTCCTTTGCTTGTTTTTACTAGAATTCTCTCTGGATTATTCTTTATAGAAACTGTCACCTAGTTACGGTCTCTTTTAATTATTTGCTCAAATGTTAAAGACTCTGTGGATCCCAGTTGCATTTTCCAGATCCATTTACACCTTCCCTTATACTGGAAAATTGCTGGGGGTGGATACTATGGGACAGTAGGTTAAGCCAGTATTTGGGATGTCCTCATCCCATATTGGAGCGCCTGGGATCCAGTCCACACTACTCTACTTTCGGTCCACTTTCTTGCTATTGCATACCCTAGGAAGCAGCAGTTAATGGCCAAAGTAATCAGGTTTCTGTCACCCACTGAGAAACCACGAAGAAGTAGAGGGCTCTTGACTTCAGTATGGCATAGTCACGGTTGATGCTGGCATACAGGAGAGTGAACCAGTGGGTGGAAGGACATTTTATCTTTGTCTCTTCCTTTTACCATGTTACCCTGCCTTTCATTCAAATCAATAATATTAGGAAGAAGGAAATGTAATTCCAGACTATGCCTTATGCGCAGTTAGCAAGTTATTTTAAAACATCAATAAAGTAAAATGAAAAATTGCCATTCAAATTGAGCCTCCCTTATTCCATCTTCCATGTGTTGCTTCTTAGTTTTGTCTCTTCATTCTAAGCAGGTGACATGATTACTGTTAAATTGATAACAGTTATGATGGCTGCAGGAGGGAGGGGCTAAATTAGCTGTTAGGCAAATATCAGGTGGCAGAGAATGTCTGTGCTTAGCTAGTACCATTCCTTGATCAGAATCTAAAGGTTGTATGAGACGTACCAGGGAGTTATATTTGTATAAATAAGAATGAGAAATCCAGCATTTTTGTTGTTTGTTAAAGATTCTTACTTAACACTTCTTGCTTTGAGTACAGCCATTCTTGAAATACAAAGGTAGAGTAGTTAATAGGGCAAGTCAGCTATCTAACTCTGTGATTTCAAAGGTTATTATGAAATACTCAGTTTTAACACTTTCCTTTTCTTTTAATTTTCATTATTCAGCTTCAATTTTGTTTGAAGATTGGTACTGACAAGCTGACTGGTAAGTGACACCACAATTCTTATTATGATGCATTTTTTAAAGTATATGTTCTATAGTCATCTTGGCACCCTGATTTTCAAATACAGAAATCAGCAACTGGGACTTAAAGGAGTGAAATTCTCTACTGTCTTCCCAAAGATACAGTGTCTAGAGAAATAGTTGATGAATTATTCTCACTGAATAGTTGTTTCTGGCAATAGTTGATTGAGTTAAATCATTGGATAACATTCTGTATCTGTGGCAGTTGTGAATTACATTTCAAAGGAAACCAAGGGGCTCTGAGTAAAGAAAAAAATGATAGGTAAACTAACTTGAGAAGAACTATGAGAATTAGTTTGTATGAATAATATGGTTTACTTCAATTTTATGTCTTTAAAATTTTAGTATGCATAAAGATGAAAGATTTCTAAAGTTCTTCTCACGTGGCTTACTAATATAGAACCGAATGTGTTGTTTTGTTGTAGAATTCGAAAGGAAGCTATTGTTTCAATTGTGCACCAAAATAATAAACTCTTGCCAGAAAACATTGTTTACTTAAATGCGTCAGGTCCATTTAAAATTGATCTATACATTAATTCTGTTTCTCAGTTCATTTTTTCCTTCAGTATTTGAGTTACTTGAAGTTTTTGGTTTTATCTTGGAGTTAATTTTAAAACATGTTTCTGGGAATTTAATGGCTGATGTTATCTTTGTCCTTTTTGCATTGTATTCAAATTTAAATAATCATAATTGCATAAACATGGATTTTAATATAAACCTAGAGAAATATAGCAAAAAAAAGATATTCCGTGGAAGCACCTATGGATCTATGCAACTTAGCAAAGGCATAATACAGCAGGAAGAACTGTATTTTTTATTTTTAAAAAAATAACAAATGAGTTCAAGGGCTAATGTTGATGCTTATGGCCATTTGCTGCATAATATAGTACTTCACTAATGCAAGATATGTTGGGAAAACCATTGGAACTGAAATTGCAAATAGTTTTAAAGTTAGGATTCAGAAAGTGCAACTTACATTAAAGTCCATATGATATTTCTGTTTTTAACAATTTTTTTGTGTTTTAACTGTCATAAAAATGGACATGTGTTTATGGGCTACCTTGTATTCACATAAACATGCCCATGTTTATGGGCTACTATGTGATGTTTTGATACTCCTTTAAGAATACAACAGGAAATGTTATCTTAGGAGTTGAATTAGAATAGCACTTATTGTATTACACATTATCTGCTTACTACCACTTTGTAATAAAGTCAGTATGTTCCCATAGCATTTCTAATTATTCAGTATGTGACTGAGACAAGGCTATTTAATATAACCACAGGCAAACATGATAACGAGCAATTATAACCTACATTGTAAGTATCAATTGAGAACAGGTTGAAATAAAAGGGTTATGAGAGTTTAAAATGACCCATGGGAACCTAGAAAAGGGTAGGATGAATAACAGAGGGGAGGAAAGAGACAAAATCAGTGAATATAAAATACAGAATTTGCAAATGGAAGACAAGGCTATGTGTTCAAGCAGGAGTGTTTTCTATGGAAACCTGCTATCTATAAAGTGGAATGTTAGGTCATCTGAGGAGAAATGTGTCTAGACTTAATATTTTAAAAATAATATATTTAAAACATTTTAAAAGCACAGTGCTTTAAAATACCTAACATGTGCTTATTATCTTACCCGGACACTATCTGACAGAACCACACATGAGTGCAGAGAAATGCTCTAAAGGAACCCTTCAAACTTAGCCTAGGAAGAATGAGTCCTTAGCTAGTCATTTGGGTGAAATATATAGCCTTCATATACCAACCATTTAGTGGGTCTAAAGTAGTATCTTGGGTTTTGATTCTTTCATTTCCCATATCTCCAGAAAACAACCAGTACTTTTGTACTCTACCTGCAACCACCTGAAGAAATGCATATGAAACATACAAATTTAAATATTGAATCAGGAGAAAAGTAATAATAGCTTACTTGTAGAATTGCACTGGAAACAGAAACAGACTGACATATGCAACTCAAATAATTCATGTAAGTCAATAAAACAGTACATGTAATTTTCTAAGGTTAGCTGCTCTTTCCCAAGCAGGTATAACATGTGAATGCAGATGTCAAGGATTTTGCTCAAAAGATTGTAGGCCTAAAACTACTCTACACTGTAATGTAAAGATTTCAAACTACTTTGGATTCTCACATACACACACACACACACATTCACATAAGTTGTTAAACAGAGTTCATCCATCTAAGGTAATTGTTACAACTTCCTAATCATTAGATTCATTCTAAATTTTGTTTGCTTGGCAATACCGCTTCTCAGTTAAAAGACCAAAAGGATTATGGATTCACTAAGTAATAGGTAGTGTTTCAGTTATATACTGTCATTAAAAAGTAACTTGAAGACATTTGGATATTGATATCTACTGTGAGTAAAAGTTCACATAAGTGACATTTTGTAGCCACACAATCTCTCATTGCTGTGTAAGCCATGATGACTGAGACATGAGTTTACTTCTGAACTCTGAGAAAATAGAAAGTACTTGGAATATAAAACATCTTAATGACTGAATATTTGCTAATAAGTTAGCAAACCGTATTCTTGATAATGATCTGACTAAATAAAACTATCATTATCACTATTGAATGATGACAAATACAAAGCCATCCTTTCTCTTGGTAAAGAACCCTAAGGCATATGTTTTTTTAACTTTTATTTAATGAATATAAATTTCCAAAGTACAGAATATGGATTACAATGGCTTCCCCCCCATACTGTCCCTCCCACCCACAACCCTCCCCTTTCCCACTCCCTCTCACCTTCCATTCACATCAAGATTCATTTTCAATTCTCTTTATATACAGAAGATCAGTTTAGCATACATTAAGTAAAGATTTCAACAGTTTGCTGCCACACAAAAACATAAAGTGAAAAATACTGTTTGAGTACTAGTTATAGCATTAAATCACAATGTACAGCACACTAAGGACAGAAATCCTACATGAGGAGTAAGTGCACAGTAACTCCTGTTGTTGA